GGTTCCTTTTAGCTGCTCTCATCACAGTGTCCTTCATGTGCTCTGTGCTCTGCCCTCTGTCCTGACCCGCTGAACTCTCCGCACCTGAAACACAATGGCTCAGATTCCCACCAATAACCCTGAGGCTTCCCAAGAACTAGAGGTGCCTCCTAAGTCATCAAAGAGATGAAATTGTGCCCTGACTTCAGAAATATGTGGTCTAAGCTGGCTGGTGTGGCTCAGTGGTTGAGTATCAACTATGAACCAGGAGGTTATGGTTCGATTCTCGATCGGGGCACATGCCCGGGTTGTGGGCTTGATCCCCAGTGGCACGGGGAGTGCAGGAGGCAGCCAATCAGTGATTTTCACCATTGATGTTTCTATCTCTCCTCCCTCTCTGAAATCCATAAAAATATATTATAAAAAAAGAAATATCTGACCTAGGCACGTGACATGCGTGTCATCCCGTGTGCAAGAAGAGCTAGCCCGGGCACTCTAGTTTACCTGTTCAGTGTATCTCTGTGTGTTTTTACTCTAATCAAGATGTGTGGTGATCTGTCTTCCTAGTTGGAATTTGAAAAGTCCCAAGTGAAGAAGTTTGAGAAAGAGCAGAAGAAGCTGTCGGGCCAGCTGGAGGAGGAGCGCGCCCGTCACAAGCAGCTCTCGTCCATGCTGGTGCTCGAGTGCAAGAAAGCCAGCAGCAAGGCGGCCCAGGAGGGCCAGCGGGCCGGGGAGCTGAGCCTGCAGCTGGAGAAGGAGAAGGGCCGGGTGGGCGCGCTGGAGGAGGAGCTGGCGGCCGAGCGGAGGCGGGGCCTGCAGACAGAGGCCCGGGTTGAGAAGCAGCTGTCCGAGTTCGACATCGAAAGAGAACAACTGAGAGCAAAGCTGAACCGAGAAGAGAACCGGACCAAAACTCTGAAAGAAGAGATGGAAAGTTTGAAGAAGATCGTAAAGGATCTAGAAGCTTCTCACCAGCATAGTAGCTCTAATGAGCAATCAAAGAAGCCAGTGACCACGTCTAAAGGCACAGTGACCGAGCCTCCCAGGCTGGTGTCTGTATTCTGCCAGACGGAGGGTTTTCAGACAGAAAGAGCCCATGGGAGCAGCGCAGCCAAGACAACAACCACTGGGCTGCCCGGTCCCACCACTCCCAGTTACTGTTATGCAAAAGCCAATGGCCATTTTGAGCCAGAGATGCAAATGACCAAGGAGTCCATTACAGGCAGCAGTGTGGAAAACCAGACGCCTCCACGGGAGAAGTCTGTGGGCTCGGCCCATGAGAAAGCCGTGGAGAATGGTGGGTGTGCCGGGGGAATCGAGAGCCCGGTCCCGGTGCCGAGTCAGCTGCCGTCCAGCAGTAGCTCACTGTCTCCCAGCAGCACTGCGTCCTCCTCCCTCACGTCCTCGCCTTGCTCATCACCAGTGCTAACTAAGCGCCTGTTGGGGTCCTCAGCCAGCAGCCCCGGCTACCAGTCATCCTACCAAGTAGGGATCAACCAGCGGTTCCATGCAGCTCGGCACAAATTCCAGTCCCAGGCAGATCAGGACCAGCAAGCCAGTGGTCTGCAGAGCCCTCCGTCCAGGGACCTGTCCCCCACCCTCATAGACAACTCCGCCGCCAAGCAGCTGGCCCGAAACACGGTCACTCAGGTGCTCTCCAGATTCACCAGCCAACAGGGGCCAATCAAGCCCGTCTCGCCCAACAGCTCTCCCTTCGGCACAGACTACCGAAACCTGGCCAGTGCTGCCAACCCAAGGGGTGACACCAGCCACTCACCTACTCCAGGCAAAGTGTCCAGCCCTCTGAGTCCCCTGTCTCCAGGGATCAAGTCCCCCACCATCCCCAGAGCTGAGAGAGGAAACCCTCCACCCATCCCACCCAAAAAACCTGGCCTCACGCCTTCTCCCTCTGCTACCGCGCCCCTGACCAAAACTCATTCCCAGGTGTCCTCCGGGACCACCGCGGAGGACCTGGCGAGCAGCTGCTCTTCCAGTGCTGCCATGGCCAACGGCAAGGACGTTGAGATACTTCTGCCTCCCAGCAGCTAGTCCCTGAGGGGTCTGCACCGTTGACATTCCATCAGATCTTGTCCAAGAGCTTGGCGTCAGACCGTTGAGTCAGATCATGTTATTTATTTTGATAGTAGCTGAAACCATCTGTATAATACATTTAGTGTATTTCACTCTTTTGTATTTTTTTAAGTAGAAACTGAGTAGTTTGGGTTTTTATGACGCACCTCTTTGTACTATAAAGCTGGAAGGGCACCTCAAAGACATCCCAAGCGCAGCAGTCACCGTGGTGGTGTGATGGAGGGAGCTGAGTGAGTAGCAGGTGGTGACTTGCTGTCTATTTTAGGACTAGAATCACTCGACACTCATTTTGAATTATGCAGAAGTGGTTCATGCAGATTTTTATTCCAGAAGAACATGTTTTAAAAGTGCCTGAAATAAGACTGCCATATGAATGTGATTCTGCAGCAAAAACACGAAACGGCTCGTTTAATTGCAGAAAATTAGATCCTCTGTGAATCCTGAATGTTAAAAACAAGCACTGCTTTTAATCCTCTTTTACTGTTTTTGATACTACAAGCTGCATAAGTAGAGTGGGGATCCTAAGGTGGGTGTGAACTCACCACCAACCAGAGCTTTTTTGAGCCCTGAGAAGCCCTCGTGAGCATTAAGTAGTTGGGGTGCTGATTTTCTTGTTCTCTGGAAAAATTAAGTCACTCCCAGTGTCCAGCATACATTCTTGAATAGAATGAAATCACATCTCCATTCAAAAAAATGTCTTCAGGCATCTACTGTTGGTAAGGAACTTCTGATTCCGATTGCTGTTACTTGAATAGGAACTGGTCACTCGTTCTGTATAAAAGTTTTGCCACAGAATGAGATCTTTATTCTATAATCAAAAAGCAATAATTTAAAATTCGCTCTTTGTAATATAAATCAAAATCATATAGGTTTTACCAAGCTGTTACTCTTATTCTCCACGCTGCCAGCACTTGGTGTCTGTCTGTGGAACCAATTACCTTTTGCCTAAATGGAAGTATCGCATATCTGTATAGACACACATCCCTTCATGCGTTTGACACATAAATATTGGTGTGATTATATCTTTGGAGTTTGCAATATCGCATAAAGGATGAGTAGAAATGCATGTTAAGATTACCTACCAAAGCAACTAGATGGGTCTGGAACCCAGTCAATCAAAGGAGCAATGGTGTCCACAGGAGGTGGGGAAATTCCACATGAAGTCAGGTCTTCAGATTCATAAAAAGGCAGAGCCAGACCTAGCCAGTTTTGGCTTAGTGGATAGAGTGTCCACCTGCAGACTGCAGGGTCCCAAGTTTGATTCCAGTCAAGGGCACATGCCCGGCTGTAGGCTCAACGCCCAGTCAGGGGTGTGTAGGAGGCAGCCCATCAATGATTCTCTCCATCATTGATGTTTCTAACTCTCCTTCTCCCTTCCTCTCTGAAATCAATAAAAATATTTTTTTAAAAGATAGAGCCAAACTAACCCTAGTGGCACAAAACTGAACGGGCCGTGTAGATGAGTGAGGTGGGTCACTCAGGCCCGT